AACTCAGGACCCTGCACTTGCTAGGCAAGCACTTATTCTACTGAGCTATCTCACTGGTCCCATATTATTATTAATTTATTTTTTCGGTACTGGGGATCAAACTCATGACCCTTGCGCTTGCCAATCAGGCACTTGTGTATCTTTATTATATAGTGGTACAAAACAAAAACATCTTTATAATGCCTGTGTGCCCTGGTTAGTAACGTAACCTAATGGAATCTTACATGGCTGCAGTTCTGGAGAGCGCACTTTGGAATTATCTTCCTCAGTCACTGGATTGGCTTCTCCGCTTTCCTGCCAAGGAAAGTTGCCTGTGTGAGATGCCCGCCCCCAGCGTGGCATAACCTGTGCAGTGGGCATCGTCCAGCCTCGGCTTGGCCCTTTGTCAGGGAGCAATACTGTTTAGTCATGACTTCAAACTGTTTGCCATGTTCCTTTCAAATCATCGTCCTCTGGTCAGTTTTCCACCATTCTTGCTTGGACTTCCACTTCTGACATAACCAGCCTTCTGGCCTTGCAGTTTGTACACGCCTTCATTACAATGAACATTTTAAAGTGGATTGTTTTCTCAATAAAATGTTAGCTACTGAAGGGCTAAAAAATTAATATTCTTATAGTAATGTTTCCAATATGTAGCTTAGTTAGCACAAATACACTTAATAGGTGTTTGATTAATGAGTAAGCTATTGTTATGGTTTTTAGGTTTCTTCTTGTAAGTGAAGTCAGATACTTTGATTTGCCTTATCTTCTACTTCGCAGAATTCACTGTCAGTGTTTGCCTTTTGCATATTTTTTTTTTTTTTTTTATAAGTTGGCAGTGTTCTGAGTACATGTATCAAGACTGTGGCCACTATTCTCATTCTGTGTTTCTACCTCTTACCTTAGGGTTCTAGAAGTACTTAGAACATATCTGTAGATAGGGCCTGGAGCTCGTCATAGATTCTGGATTAAGCATAAGATTCTTCTGCAGTTCTTCATTCTACTCCAGAATCATACGTAGGCAGCTTCAGACAGACAAGGGGTACACTTGAGTTTCAGAGTGTTATAAGGAATATTTCTGATGTCTCTGATAGTTGGTGTGGATGACTACAGCTCAGAGTCTGATGTGATTATTATGCCTTCAGCCCTGGACTTTGTCTCTCAAGATGAAATGTTGACACCATTGGGAAGATTGGACAAGTATGCTGCAAGTGAGAACGTGTTTAACAGGTTTGTGCTTACCATTTTCATTAATGTACACGTAGAAGAATGGCTTGGTTAATTTTAACAGGGAAAATGAAGTTACCCAGCCTGAAGTATAAGTGTTAGCATGTGCAGTCTGAGTTGCCAGGATGTACTAGTAATCATAGCATGAGCTATATGGTTGATGTTTGTGGTGTGTTTGTTTGTTTGTTTGTTTGTTTTGCCACTGGGCATATTTCTGGGGATGATGGACATTGTGTACTGAGGAGTACATTGCTCCTGCAGCAGACAGTGTCATTCCTTTGCTGTGTCACAGGTTGTGTTCAGTGCACAGGGCCACAGCAGGGGCCAGGCTCCTGCATCCTCCAGGGCCATTTCTCCAGCTGAGGTCTCTGACAGCTATGTCAGACTTCCTGGGAAACCAGAATTTTCATTTAAACTTCCTTTCTGTAATTCTACAAAATTCATATTGATAAAACATTTTACACAGTGAAAAATGAATAAAACTTCCCATTGTTATAATTGCAGGATAGCTATTTGGAGTAAGTTCCCAGAAATTTGCCAAATCAGTTTGATAAAAAGTACTTAATCTCATCTATAAAATCTATACACCCGTCTTTCACTCAGGAAATGGTACAGTTTAATGTGTTTTATAATAAAAGAGTCTATACCAAAAAGGATCCTGTCTTTTACAAGTCCAATTATTACTGCTGATGCCACTAACTCCTATATACTTTCTGTTTCTGTGCAGACAAATGGTGGCTCGGAGTTTGCTGGATACGTTGAGGGAAGTCTGCGATGATGAAAGAGACTGCGTTGCTGTTCTGGAAAGAATTAGCAGATTAGCTGATGATTCAGGTATGTGTATGTGCAGAAAAAGCAGATTCAGTATTTCTGGAAAGGATTCTTTTACCGAATTTGTGTTTCTGCAGCTATTGTAAAAGCTAGTGTGAGGGGCTGGGGAAATAGCTCAGTAGAATAAGTGCTTGCCTGGCAAGCCCAAGGGCCTGAGTTCAATCCCCAGTTCCGTCAAAAAAAAAAAAAGCTAGCATGATACTAGCAGCTAGATACCTTTAAAAGATTTCCTAAGTTACCAAACCCACTAGAGACAAGAAACAAAAAAATTCTGTTACAAAGACTCAGTTTGTAGTAGGTATAGTTTAATTGTAAAAAAGTTTTCATCAGTTAGGTCTAAGAACATTATTCTGTGTCATGTATATTAGAGCTATATTTTAGGATTAATAGAAGTTATAAAAAATAATTTAGAATCAAAGAGATGGTACTGTAGTGTTTTTAGGTAAATATAAAGTGCTTTTGTTCTGTATGCCTTCTTGCTTGCGAAGCTGTTAACCATCCATTTGTAAAGCTAAAGCTGGGCATCCCTAAGCCAGAGGCAGCAGAATCTGCTCGGAGAAGAGGTGAGCTTGCTTTGAGCCTTAGAAAATGGTGATGTTAAGGGTTTCACAGTTTGTTTAATGTAAAATACATATAACTTAAAAATACTTCGGCCAGTATTATTTTGATCATAATGTTATGGTTTGTGTCTAGGTGTCCCCCAAAGCCTCCGGCAGTCTTGGGGCAGCCTCTGGAGTTTGTGATTACTGTGGGTGTGGATGCTGCCCCTGCCCTGGGGCAGGTGATTTGCATTACAGTGTAAGGTGGGCAGAGAAGCCAGCTGCTTGAGCTGCTGCTGCCCCTTCCTTGAGCTCTTGCTCTTTGCTGCCACCATGAAAGGTTGCTCTCTGCTGCTCTGCCTTGGAGCCAGCTGAGTATGCACTGAAACCTCCAGTGACTGTGAGCTAAATAAACCTTTCCTTCTTTCATTTGGGGTGTCGGGTATTTGTCTCAGCAACAAGTGAAAAGTAACTAAGACACATGTTTTATACCAGTGCTTCATTTTACAAACATAAAAATTTTTAAAAAGCTTTTTTTTTCTTGAATCCATTACCTTTTTATTAAATGTTTTCAGTCTCTGCCAAATTTTTGATGTGTCAGCAAGTCGCATCTTTTGATTTTTAGATGACTCATTCTTTGGTAAATGATTCACTTTATGGAACTAGCTAGCTATATGAGCCTGAATTTATTTATTTATTTATTCTTTTAGGGAAGGGTCTACAGGGTGTTCAGGTCTCTCTACTGGATCGGACTCGTAGTGATCCACCTGTTTACAGCCTCCCAAGAGCTGGGGATTACAGGGGCACGTGCCACCATGCCCAGTCTCGGGAGCCTTAAATTTTAAAAATTTTCTTACAGGGTGGAAAGAATATTTGGAGTGTATTTTCTTTGTACATACATAATTGTGCTTCTATTTTGTGTTCTCAAATGGTTTTAGATAAGTCTCATCAAGTATAAATTTTACTTGTATTTTTCAACTTCAGTCAAATAACACTTCAGTTATGTGACAGGGCTTTTGGATCTGGAGACGTAATGGAGTATCCCTGTGAAAGAGCAGTGTGCTGGAGGGATAGACAGATTGGCTCAGAAATGGCAGGCTTGGGTGCTGGTCCCTCGGTCAGCAGGGAGTCCGAAGTACCTCCAGGGTGAGGGAGGAGGTGAGGGCTAGATGTAGAGGGTATGATAGGCCCATGGTAGAGATTTTACTCTTTTGTGCTTTGTAATTAATGTAGTGGATAAGCTAATTTAATGAAAAAGATGGGTGACAGGAAGAGTGATCGGAAATCCTACTGTTACAAGTTCTTTGAGAAAAACTAAAGGTCAGGAAGAGAGTCCAGATAGCTGCCTCAGTAGTTAGCCCAGGGGAGGTCACATGGACCGAGACTCCTTGCCTAGTGTGGGCCTGGTTGATTGCGAATGCCCAAGTAAGATGGTGGCTCTTGTGGAAATCCAGCTGATAGTCTTGATGATATTTCAGTTCTTACTGTTGTTGTTGTTGAGAAGTAGTTCTTTTTTTTTTTTTTTTTTTTTTTTCGGGGATTGAACTCAGGCCCTTGTGCTTGCCTGGGAAGCACTTATTCCACTGAGCCATCTCCCCAGCCCTGCTGTTGAGAAATTTGCTGGTCTCATTTTGTTTTTGTAGGTGACTTAGTCACTTTGGTCATCCCTGAGAAAAAATACCCAACATGTGCAGCACAAAGGATTGACTTCCTCTGGCTCACATTTTTAGCCCACACTTGGCCTCCAAGGCAGGAAAGCTTGGTAAGAGGGCATTGCTGCAGCCAGGAGGCAGAGAGGAGGAGCCTGGGAGATTCCCCCTTCCGGGTCTGTCCCAACCCCATGCCAGCTGTAGTGTCCCCATCATGTACTCACCATCCTGCAGCTGTGTGCGTGAGCTCTGGGGGGACATCCAGATGTAAACCAGAACAGTAGGTATTCCTGTTTCTTCCTTCTTTTGCTTTTAAAATCCCCTTTCCCTGCTATCCTGCAGTTTCATTGTGGTGTGTTTAGGTACAGATTTATCATACTCAGGATTTGCTCTGCTTCTTGAATTTGAGACTTTTTGTTTTTCCATTCTCCACCTTAAAATTTTTTTGTTATGGGTAAGTTTTTTTCATATGGTTGAGGATGTAGAACTTTTGTTAGATAAATGTGGTTTTCATGACTTTAATTGTTCTTGCTTTTCAGTCTTTTTGTCTTTCATCTGCATTTCAGCAGTTTTTGTCAGCAGGGTATCTGCTACTAGAGCCTCACCTGCCTTCTGACTGTTGAATTTTACATTGCTATTAACTCCATTTCTTTTTTCTTTCCTTTTTTTTTTTTTTTTAGGAGTGCTTGGTATTAGAACACTCTGTTGTGTCGGCTTTTTGCTAATGAGCAATCCTTTCCTAGTCTTTTTTTGTAGTTTGGCTGTATAAGCTCATTAGTGGGTCTTCACGGGACTTTGATGCTTGGGTCAGCCTCCACTGTGCTTGGAGTTGTCCTGCAGGTGCAAGGCCGTTAGTGAGTAGGGGTCGTTTCATGCTGATCTGGTGGTGTGGGTGTGCTTTTGCTGTGTGTGTAGGGACAGGCAGTTCTCAGCTGTGCTTGGATGTATAAATTTGGAGCCCAAATCAGCTACACCTATATGCCTGGGGTTTCAGAAATAATATATTAGAAGCCAATATTTTTTTAAAAAATACTGAGTATTACAACAAAAAGTATATAAACTATAAATTTTATAGCCTTATGAAGTTTCTCAAGGTGAAAAGACAGGTTCCTATAATTGGCATACACGTCATACAGAAAGCTGGTCCCTGCTTCTCCTGACTGCTCCCTCCTCCCTCTGCCCCAGGGGTAAGAACATACAGATTAGTCTGCCTGTCTGAATGGCACCATCCTTTTCTTTTGAGCACTGTTCATTTTATCCTGTTCAAGAAAGTTTTCCCTACCTCAGAGTCATGAATATTTTTTCTTGCATTATTGAATCTAGTGTCATTGTTTTTGCCTTGGACTGAAGTCTGTGTTCCATGTAGAATTCTTTCTGTATTAAACTGATAAAAGTTGTGTACATTGTGTGCAGTATGATGCTCCTAAAATTTAACCTGTGTGTTATATGAGGCAGAACACACATTCCATTCTCTTATGTGAACACGGGCAGCCAGTCACCGCAGCACTGCTTGTGTAAGTACCAGCTCTGCCTTTCCCTCATGGAGCAGCCCACGGGTCTGGGTGCGTACCTTGTCTTTGGACTGTTTGCTGGTTTCATTGATGTTTTTGCTGAAGCAGAGCCTTCTCATGGTATTGGAGACTGAACCCATGGCCTTCAAACTAAGCTATGCCCCGAACCCTTTTAAAATTTTTTTCAAGACAAGATTTCACTAAGTAAAGTTGCCCAGGCTGGGCTCAAACTTGGGGTCTCCTGACTCAGTTTCGCAGTGTGCTGGAATACAGCTGTGCCACCACATCTGACTCTGAGCATAGCTTTGAACAAATATTACTTCATGCTTAACTGAAACTGCAAGATGTGTGTCCCTTTTGCTTAAAAGAAAAAAATACATAGAAGTAATTACGAAGTGGGGGAAATTCAGGATCACAAGAGAAAATTATGCCTATAAGTCTGTTCTCATATTGTTTTTTTCTTCAAAACCAAAAGTAAGTACTACTGCTCACTTCATATGGCACAACCTCTTAGAAATTCTAAATGCTAAGATTTTTGATTTTGTTAAATGTTAAGATGTTTTGTATTGATAACATATTAATTTGTTGAGATTTGAAATTATATTGACATTCATATATGCTTATCTAAAAGTAACATTTATTTTTATTTTTTTCTGAAGGTAACTTTAACAATGCAGTCCTTATAAATGACTTGTTACTTCATAACACGTGTGTGTGTTCATGTTTTGATCACCTGACTGTCTTTCAGGTTACCTAGTCAGTCTTTTTCTTTCCCATATTTGAGCAATGAGCCCTTTGTATATTTGACCTGTTAATATTATGCCATGAAAAGAATACTGTGCTATGAAAAAACTACTATGCTGTGCATACTTTTTTCTCCTAAGCTGTTTGGCCTTTTAGCTAGTGTAGTATCTGTTACCTGTAGTGAGGTTTTCTAAGTGAAATTAGTGGGAAATTTTTTGTCTTCTCACCCCCAGGCTGAACATTTCTTCTGAAAATACCTTTCATGCTTTGAGAGCTTGAAGTTTAGACCCTTGTTTCCCTGGCTTTGATGGATGGGTTGTAGTAGGTTCTTTTAACGCTCCCCTCACCTAATTAGTTAATTTTTGCCTTATAACATACCAGGCAGTTTATCCTTTTGAAACCCAGAGATCTGAAATATGCTGTGTTTCTCTCATATAAAGTTGCCATCTGCACTTGAGTCTTTCAGGGTTTTTAAAATTATTTTTAAAATCTGTTTATCTCTTTTGATATTCTTTCTCTTTCTTACTCGTAGTCAAGTCTGGCTGTAAATCTGGAGATAGACTCTATTGAGCTTGTCGCCAGTCCTCACATTTTGTCCTACCTAGGAGGTTTTAAATCCTGGCTTTTATAGATGGTTCCTGTCATAGCGTCAGTGTAGATGTGGGTTGGATGCGTTCACCGCAGGGAGTTGCACACTGAGTGATGGAGTCTTGGGTGGCATGGTCTCCTCCTCGCCCACCCGTGTTCCTGTGTGTGGATGTGCCTAGAGCTCAGGGCTGGAGCGTGTTCTGTGCTGAGCCAGGGTGCAGGGCCCAGGCTGCCCAGAAGGTGAGAGCCCGCTGCCGTGAGAGGGCGCGTCCGCTCACATCATGTTGCCGCTGTCTCCCCAGAGCCCACGGTGCGTGCAGAGCTGATGGAGCAGGTGCCTCACCTCGCCCTGTTCTGCCAGGAGAGCCGGCCTTCCATCCCCTGCGCCTTCTCCAAGTACTTGCTGCCTGTCGTGGTGCGGTATCTGGCAGATCAGAACAACCAGGTGAGAGTGCTGTGCTCTGAAGAGTGGCCTCCCTGAGCCGTCCTACGTGATTCTGTCTTTCTCCGTTGTCGTAGGCGTGCTGAGCATCTGACAGATTAGACCCCTTCCGCGCCACCCTGGGCCGCCTGGTCCCTGGACTCCTGAGCCGTCCTATGTGTTTCTGTCTTTCTCCGTTGTTGTAGGCGTGCTGAACATCTGACAGATTAGACCCCTTCCGTGCCGCCCTGGGCCGCCTGATCCCTGGACTCTGATTTGGCCCCTCATAGATGCCCTTGGGAACGTTGGCTTTGCGAGGCATTCTTCCAGGGATGGCTTTTGTATTCCGCTTCCTCTCTCACCATAGGCTACCCACCCCCTTTTCCCGTAGGTGAGAAAAACGAGCCAGGCAGCTCTGCTGGCACTGCTGGAGCAGGAGCTGATTGAGCGCTTTGATGTGGAGACCAGAGTGTGCCCTGTCCTCATCGAGCTGACTGCACCCGACAGCAATGACGACGTGAAAACAGAGGCCGTGGCTGTAAGTAGGACAGCGTTTTCTGTGCGCTGCTAGCAGGCAGAACACACTCTTTGCATGTCAGGGTGGCCTGTCTCGTGTAACACAGCCCTGATGAGGTAGCCACCTAACTGTTCCATCTGAAATACAATGGAGGTAGGCAGGTGCACCAAGGCTTATGGAGAAAAGGTGGTCTCCACACAGCAAGACTGTAAGAAGGAGCTGTAAATTCATCATTTTGTCGAAATGGAAAACTGAAGTGGCTACTGCAGTGCCATCCAACAACATTTGAATGCCTTCGGTCGTTGCTGAGTATTTTTCTAGACACTGCATAAGGACGGTGGAAGTGAAAGACGCGGACCTTGGTGCCTGCCCATGCTATAATGTTGGAGAGAAGAGCAGTATTCAGGGCCGGGGTGCAGCTCAGCAGCACAGCACTTGCCTCGCCAGTACAAGGTCATGAATTCGATTCCCAGTACAAAAAAAGTCATGCAAGAAATCAGCAGTAATTATTTAAAGAATATGCAGATTGTTAAGCCATTGTGCGCATAATAAAGCCAGACTGAATAGGTTTTTTGGTTACTTTTTTTTTTTTTTAATTTATGTATTTGGTACAGGGTCCCGCTGTGCAGCTCAGATTCATAACGATCCTCCTGTCTCAGCCTCCTGAACACTGGGATTACAGGTGTGCACCATCAGGCCTGGTTTCAGTGGCTGGCTCCATGGGCCCAGGATAGGGCCAGCACAGTATGCAGTACCAGTGATTGAACCAGGGTCCTTGCACTTGCCAGGCAGGGACTTACACCTCTGAGCTAGCTCCATGGCACCTGGTTTGCTTTTTCAAAACATGGTTAGTAAATACTCTTTTAAGTGTTGAAAGGCTAAGATAAATAGATCATAAGTTAGAATTTAGCAGTATCAGCTGTGATTCACATCTGTGGTACTTGAGTTCCGATATTAACAATTCTGATGGTAAATTAGGAAAGTAATAAATTGAACTAAAATATATTCAGATCAGTTCATTTGGGTAGTGAGCATTCACCCATTATACCTAAAGTAATATAATTGCTTTAAAAATCCTTGTTGCTATAAACAAAATTGCACCCAAATGTTATGGTGCTTCTTGATCATAAATTAGATGATACCTCTAGTTTCTTTCTCTGTGTCTTGGTTACTGTTCTCTCATTGCTGGGACAAACACCTGACACTCAAAATTAGGGAAGGAAATGTTTGTTTAGCTCAGTTGATGGAGACTTCGTCCATACTCGGCTGGCTCCAGGGCAGAACGGCACTTGGCAGAAGGCAGCAGTTCATGGCAACAGCAAACAGCAGGAGCAAATGCAAAGCGTAGCAGCAGCAGCGGCGACGGAGAGGGGTCTGTCTCCCTTGTGTTGCATTCAGGCTGTCCGCCCAGGCTGGGGAAGCACTCACACCCACAATCCCAGCGGATCAGGAGCTCATCACAGACTCTAGCAGTCTGCCCCTGCCTGCATGAGGCTTTGGGGGGACAACTAGATGCAAACTGTAACACTCTTGAAAAATTTCCTGATTTTATTTTTATTTTTAGATAGTTACCAGTTGATAATATATGTAGATTTTTTTTTTTTCCTCAGTGATTTTTGAAATAAGGTCTTTCTATGTAGTTCAGGCTGGCCTTGAACTCACCATGTAGCCCACACTGGCCTCAAACTCATGGTGGTTCTTCTGCCTCAGCCTCCTAAGTGCTGGGGTTACAGGGCATGTACCTCCATGCCCAGTTCAATATTTTTATTGAAGTGAAATTTACATAACATAAAATTAGTCATCTTAAAAGTGTATTGTTGAGTCAATGACTGCTTCTACCTAATTTTAAAACATTTTTAGAACTCTCTCAGGAAAGGAAATCACAGTGCAATAACTGTTGGTTTATGTTAAGCAGAATTTAACTTTGCTATATTACAGTTTTGTTGAGATTTAAAAGTGACAGAACATTCTAATACAAGAGTGTCCGGCATCGAAGGCCTCTTAACAGTTGGCTTGTATTTGTTGTGTTGTGCTCTGCATTGGCTCCCAATTAGTCTCTAAAAGAGGACTAATTAAGGACTAGTTCATTCTAATAAATTCAGTTGTCTTAGAATAACTTTGGGATTTTAACTAGGTTTTGCATAATGATTATTCCAAAAACAAAGCTGGCCTTGGGTCTTAGAAAATGTTTAGGGCCTGGGAGATGGCTCAGTAGAACAAGTGTTTGCCAAGGGCCTGAGTTCAAACCTCGGTTCTGCGGAAAAAAAAAAAAAAAAGAAAAGAAAATGTTTATACTCTGCAGTTCTGAAGATGTTTGATTAGGAATCATGTTGAATCTGTAAATCCGTTTGAGGGGAGTTAGCAGCCTCAGTGTGCCTGAACATGACACATCTCTCCATGGATGTGTTTATATTGCTGCACTGGCGATTCAGCGGTAGAATTCTTGCCTGCCGTTTATGTATTTATTTATGGGTTTGATTTATATTGTCATTGTTTTATAATATTCAGGAGAATGATCTTACATGTATTTTGTTAGATTTCATATTTTTAACATTGTGAATGGTATTATTTTTCAAGCATTCTAGTTTTTATTGCTAATGAATAGAAACAGGTTTTTGTGTTTCAATATATATCCTGCAGCCTTCTTAATCTCACTTAAGAAGTTCTGATGACTTTTTTATAGATTCCTTGGGATGTTCTATATAGACAGCATGTTGTGTATGAATAAAGAGCACTTTTTCCTTCCCATTCTATATGCCTTTTACTTTGTATTGTCGTTCCAGTCCAGTCTGGGAATAGATATAGTTGTAAATGATGATAGGTCATCATAATTCTTTCTGTATGAAGTGTGAGTGTAGTTTCATTATAGAGCGCTCACTTCCCTATAAGGTGGATCCTCCTCACTTGGGTAGAGCTGTGTCCTGGCTTTCTTTGAGCTGAAGCTTTGCAGAACCAGGGCACAGTTTGATTTCTTGCCATGCTGTGCGAGGCAGGGCTGCCTGTGTGTGCTGTCTGCTCCACAGTGCAGGATATTCAGTCCAGACTCTCTATACAGTCATTGTAAAAAAAAAAAAAAAAAACAGAGAGTTTTGTTGTTGGATTTTAAATTTATCAGCAAAATTAACTAATGAGTAAATAATGTGAAATGAATTTTTTAGGGTTTTCTGTGGCTTTCTTTATGTTTAGTATTTATTGGTTAATTTTGCTGATATCACTTAGTATCTGTTTTTGTTTCCTTCTTAGAATATGATAGAAGTAATAATTGGCTGGGAGTGTACTCTGATACATGTGATATAACGGTGCCACACTGTAGTGTGGATTGGAGTTACTGTAATTGAGAAAGCCTTAAAGATATTTGCGGCGCTCCTTTCCTTGTTGTAGATAATGTGCAAGATGGCGCCAATGGTTGGGAAGGACATCACGGAACGCCTCATCCTCCCTCGCTTCTGTGAGATGTGTTGTGACTGCCGGATGTTCCATGTTCGGAAGGTATTGGGAGAATCACTCTCCTTCCTTTTTTGAACATAAGATTCTATTGAGCAGTGTACTGACATGTGAAATTTAATACATTATCTTTAAGGAAGTGCGTATGTGTTAATATTTTGAAATGTCAGCAGTGCTTTTGTTGTCAGGTCTGTGCAGCTAATTTTGGGGATATTTGCAGTGTCGTTGGCCAGCAAGCCACTGAGGAAATGTTGGTAAGTACAGCAGGTCAGCAGAGTAAGCAGGCAGAGGAGTGCATGCAGGCCGAAACACATTGACCCCAAGTTTATTAGCACAGTCCATGACTTGAAACTAGAAAGATGACTTGAGTTTAGAAGTTTAACTTTGGGTAACCTGAGCACTTGACTCGTGCTTTGCTAAAGACAGTTTGGGAAGCACAAAATTATTTTTACCTTTACCACTTCTATTAAGTAAATCAATTGTAGTTTTTTCAGCTGAGCTTTAATTTGATTGCACCCCTCAAGGCTTTGGTGGCACAGTCCATCCACAGCTGGTTAGCTCTGAGTGGTAGGACATAGGCCTCGTGGTTGGCACTCTCGGGGCACACTGCCACGAATGTCTGCATGGTCTGTGGAGCGCAAGTCAGGTACAGGCTGTTGGGTAATAGAACGGCATTTGTGGGGAGTTTTTGTGTTTGTAGAGTCAGTTATGAATTAGATGTAGTTTATTAAGCACTACAAAGTATTGGTATTAGACAATTTCCTACTTAAGAAAACCCATTGTTTAAGACTGGAACAGGAAATGGAAACAGTCGCCACAGAGCTCTGTCTGTGACTAACGCACCCTCCTCTGGCATAGCTGCCCAGGTTTTTCCAGCTTTGTTCTGACAATGTGTGGGGAGTCCGCAAGGCGTGTGCCGAGTGCTTCATGGCAGTCTCGTGTGCAACATGTCAAGAAGTCCGACGGACCAAGTTATCAGCACTGTTTATTAATTTGATCAGTGATCCTTCACGCTGGGTATGATCATTTATCATTTTCCTAAAATTATACTTTTGAGTGTTTTAAAGTAAACATTTCATGATTTCAGAAATAATTTATGCCTGGCACGGTGGTACACGCCTGTGATCCCAGGTACTTGGGAAGCTGAGGCAGGATGAGTGTAAGTTTGGGCAACCTGGCGAGTGCTTGTCTGGCATGAACTAACCCCTGGGTTCAATTCTCCTGCTGCTAATTAAATAAATGAATAGTACATTGTGATTTAATTTGTTATCTGTCAGTTCATACTTTGAAGAGTATCAGTAAAAAAACAATCAGGAGTTTGTTTCTGGTAACTGGATACTGTTTCCTTGCAAATGTGAATTGCGCAGGTCTTCTCTCAGTTGGTGTGCTGTGTGACTGTCACAGGTTTAGGTGCTGGCCTTGTGTTGCTAGAGCTGAGGTGCACATTAGATGAGATCATTTGGGGGAACACCTGGGCACGCTATGCCCTGCGTGGGCTGTGAGGCTCACTTCCGCTGCTGGAGTTCTGCGAAGGGGAGGGTCTTGGCATCCGTGCCGTAGAGCCACTCTGCAGTTTTTACATGACTTTGCTTGGTTTTTGTTATCATAGTAATAATTTATTACCACTTCATAATGGCTTCAGTGAAGGAGTTAGGAAGTGTTCCCTCCTCTTCGTCTCCCTCCTGTTTCTCCTAGTTAACGAAGAATTGGCATTCCTTTTCCTTTAAATCATTGATAGAATCTGGTGGTAAAGGCACTTGGGCCTGGGCCTTTCTTTCTGGGTGGCTTTAATTTTTCTGACTTTTATTTGTAACAAGCTCAGAGATAATACAACAACCAGAGAATAATAAATTCGTGCATAATTGGGGGTTCTGAAACTGGGAATCAACTCAGTATCTTGTACTTGCTAGGCAGGCACTGTGCCACTGAACTGTATGTCTAGCCCATACATATAATTTTTTCTTTTTTTTTTTTTTTGCATTTTAGGGAAGGGGCTACGAGTTGTTCAGGGTCTCACTACTAGATCAGAAATTAAAATTAAACTGTGAGTCCCACTAAGGAACAAAAACAACTACTGGATCAGACTCCTGGTGATCCCCCCGCCACCATGCCCTGTCTCCGCATACGCATTTTAAATGTGCAGAGATCCTGTCACAACGTCCTAGAAGGGGGATGCTAGACCTGAGGATACTCACTGTATGGTGCACTTGACGTTTAGGAACACCATTTCCTCCGTTGGGACACTCCTTTTGGCTGGATCCATCCCATGCCTTCCATAAAGCTTAGCTTCAGTTGTTTGTTTGTGGTTCTGGGAATTGAACCCAGGACCTTCACACTGAGCTGTGTTCCCAGCCCTTTTTTGCATTTGTGTTTTATTTTGAGGCAGGGTTTGGTTAAGTCCTCATGGCTAGGCTGAGCTTGAATTTGTGAACTTCCTTCCTTAGCATCGTAGTCATTGGGATTACAGGTGCACCACTGTGCCTGGCTCCAGTGTTTTAACCCTGACTTAGCACAGAAGCAGACATGAAGTAGGGTTCTATAAGCAACCCTCCCTCGTGGCCCCCCCGGTTGTTGGAGGCACCTTGCAGTGCTGTTGCAGATGGACTTGGGTGTTTCCTTCCTGAAAACCTTCAGTGGTATAGTGCATCCAGTTGGCTTTCTTACTGTTTTCTTTTTTTTGGTGGAACTGGGGATTGAACTCAGGCCCTTGCACTTGCCAGGGAAGCACTTACTCTACTGAGCTGTCTCCCCGGCCCCCTTGCTGTTTTTTTCTGTTTGGTAATTTTAGCATTCATTTTTTTTTTTTTTTTTCTTGAGGGCAAAAAAAGTTGTTTTTAAAGATGTACTATATGTGAATATCATAAGATCTTGTATTCCTATAGTGATTAAATATATAAACAGAATAACAATTGAAAGTAAAGGAGAAAAAATAATTTATAAAGACTTTTAAATCTCATTTGAAGAATGATTTATAGTTCTGAATCTGGGTTTCTTTTAGAAAAGCCTTATTATTATTACCCTAAACATACTGTAACTTTGGTATATGGGAAGTAGATGATTAAATATGGGGATAGGTGTGTGTTACTTACAAAATTATTGGGGCCGGGGAGATGGCTCAGTGGAATAAGTGCTTCCCTGGCAAGTGCAAGGGCCTGAGTTCAATCCCTGGTTCCACCAGGGGGAAAAAAAAATATTTTGCATGGTGTGGTGGTGCACACCTCTAATCCCATACATCTGAGGCTAAGGCAGGAAAATCACAAATTTAAGCTCATCAGAGGTTAACTTAGCAACTTAATGAGACCTTGTCTCAAAAACTGACCTAGAGATGTTGCTTGGCGTGACAGCCTTGTAGACCCAGTCCCAGTGCCACCAACAAACAGATGAACTTCTGTGCTTACGCGATTGTCCTGCCTTCCTTCTCAGGTACGCCAAGCAGCCTTTCAGTCCCTGGGACCTTTCATATCAACCTTTGCTAATCCATCCAGCTCAGGCCAGTATTTTAAAGAAGAAAGCAAAAGTTCAGAAGATATGTCGGAAGATAAAAATAGGTACGATTTTAAAACACTTAAAAACTTACTCTGTGAGCATCATTTCTGTTACTTTATATTCTTTTGAGACTGTTTCTCTTAAAAGTAAAACTTGGTTAATATTTTCATAAAATTTCATTTATAAAAGATAGAAGTTACTATCTCTTCAGGTAGTTACATATTAAATTAGAAGATACATATGATCAACTTAGCTTAATGCCTGTACACAAAACTGAATGGTGTATTTTATAGTGTTTGAGTATGCTTATTTAATAAATTATTGACCTAGTAAATTGTTGATATTTAGAATATAAAAGGTGACGCTTATACTCTTTAAATGTTTCTTTAAAATTTGTTTTTAAGGAGTGAAGCCTAGTTTAGTGGGTTTCTTGCATATTGTCCATTTCTATTATTTTTCCTTTGAGTCAGTTAATTAATGTGATCTGGATTCTTTGCCTACAGAATAATTGTGTTTCATTTGAGGGATTGAGCATTTTAATGATTAGTCCTAAATTAGTTTCCTTATTAACTAAAATATCTCTTATATATTAATCTACCATGCTAATTAAATTATTAAAGCTTAAAAAGTCAACTCTGATACTTACTTTACAAAACTTTTTGTGTTAATAATTTTCAGTTGAACCTTAATTTCTTTTTTTTTTTTTTTCCCCTATATTTTAGGGAGGGGTCTACAGAGTGTTCAGGGTGTTACTACGAGATCGGACTCATAGTGGTTGTCCTGTTTACGGCCTCCCAAGACTGGGATTATAGGCGCGCACTACAATGCCCAGTCTTAACTGCTGTCTGAGCATGGCAGGCCTGGGGATTGAAACCTCTGCTTGCAGGCACTTTAATCCACTGAGCTACTTGGCCGGCCCTTTCTTGAAGTTTTGATTTAGCAGTTCTTCCTTCCTTCTCTGCTGCCTTGTTTTATCTTTTTGCCCATTCTCCCACTGTCCTGCCGAATAGCCAAACAAACGTGAGGTGCTGTTTTTTGTAAAAGAAGTAAAACTCACTCTAACTCTTGTCTTCCTAGCAAGCAAAGTCTCGATTGTTTTGAAAACAGCAGCCAGAAGCAGCTTGACACAAATGATGGAGGGGTAGAAATGTTATGTTTTTTTATTTTTGAAGTGGGCATACTTTTTTTTTACTGTGGATTTAAGTGTACTGAAGACTATATAACTTTTAAATCTGGAGAGGGCCTAGGAAGTGAAGGTCTAGCACAGAGAGCCCTGTGGTGCAGGATCTGGACAGGGCCAGATGGTAAATATTACCACTGTCACTATCCGAGCTCCGCAGTCTCTCGGCCAGCCCCAGGCAGGATGCGGCTGGAGGGCGTGGCTGTGTTCTAGTGAGACCTTGGAAGCCATCCATGTGGCTGCTGAGGCCGTGCTTGCTGACTGGCCTTGTGCTGAATAGAGCTATTTAAAGGTAGTTTAATTCCTTAATTCTTTTTCCATTGTGATGTGCCGTGTCCGCGGCAGGTCAGTGCTGTTTTTACAGCATCAGTGTTCACTGCAGCTTGAGGCTTTGTTGCGTTGTGCTGGTGTGGTGCCGGAAGAGAGTGCTGGCACCAGGAGAAGGAGCTGGGCTCAATATTGTAAGTGCGTCTGCACGTGCTGTCTTGTAGCGATATAAAGGAGGAGTCCTGTATGTCATTAAGCCTCTGCCTCCTCCGTTAAGCAGCCCGGGCTTTGGTTCTAAGCTGCTGTTCCAGTGGATTGCTGTTGCATGCTTCACTGAGCACCTCCCCTGAAGCACCGTAAATGGATAGCTGGAGCTTGGTCCCTGGTCCTGAGGTCCTCTCAGCTTCTTAGAACTCCAGTTTGTCAGGTGAATGGAAGCAAGGGCATCTTTGAGCCTACATATCCTTTGCCACTTGTTCATTGCATAGCGTTTCACCCTGGCTGAGGACCATTTGCTGTCTCTTCCTGCTGTCTTAAGAACTCAGTGACTGCAAACATCTGCACTGACCAAATGTTTCTTTCAGTCATCAGGTTTATTCCCACTTTTTCAAGTGTTCTAGCTACTTCTAGAAAGAGAATTAAATGTTCAAACTTGTAAGATAAGCATTATTTTTTCTATTTACTAAAGTTACATTGGCCTCTTAATGCACTGTGTTCTTTGGTTCATTCTGCCTTTGTTGTGGCTGCCCTCTGCAAAGCCACTGTGTTCTGGCTGTGTCCTCTTTGGACAAAGGTGACAGCAGTGTGGGTACTGCTGCAGGTCACTTCTCCCAGAGCCCCTGCCTGCTTCCCAGGGAACTCAGAGTTCTCTGTCTTTGCTGCCAGCCACACTGGAACTGGTGTCTTAATTGTGTATTTCTGTGTGTCACACAGCAGGCGACAGTGGGCTGGCTCTAGTTTTTATCCTTATTTGTACTAGCCCCTTCACTGAGCCTGCCACACAGTTGGCATTTATTAATCTGAAATGAATGATCTGAAAAACAATAATTTGATTTCAAAAACCTTAACTGAACCACAAGTCTGTTCAGCTTTCTGCTGTATATGTAGAATAAAATGGGCTGTTACTGGCACATACCAGGAGGTCTCCCCAGGGGCACCCTTCCCTTGGTGGAGTTACTGCCTGGGACAGTGCTTGCAAGCTGCTCCTGAAGGGCTGTCTGCTTTCTGAACCCAGCGCTCTTGAGCTGGATGTCCTCGGATTCATCTTGTGCTAGGAATGCCTGGGTTTCATCTCAGGTACCAGAGCCTCTCCTGAGTGGCTCCGAGGATGTTATCCGGAAAGGCAGTGAAGGTTCTCGTTGAGAGCAACTTCTAACAGGTCCTCTGCTGCATTTGTGCTGCATCTCCAGGAGCTGAGATGCTGTGTGCAGGGCTCAGGTTGCCTTGGTTCTACAGCCACAGGTGCTTGGATAGCAGCACCTAGAGGGCTGGCAGAGAAAACCTGAGGGCTTGCCATTCAGGAGCTTGGTATACAACAATCATAATCGATTTTTAGAGGCTTAGCACTTTTGATAGTTTGAAGCCACACATGCAGTAATTTTTTGCAGAACTTAATATGGAAAACCTTTGTATGTAAGTTTGCAGTCTGGAGGTACTCCTAAGTTTGCATTTGTTGGGTGAGCAGAAAAACTCTGAGTCATCTTGTTGCTGTGAATATTGAAATTTAATCTCCATATGGGTGAGACAGTGATTAAAGAATTCAACCCCCAGAATAATTTTACATCCTCGAAAGCCATTTAATTAAGTCTTTTGTATGTGTTTTAAGTGAAAGTTTCAGGGCCTGCCAAATAGTTCAGCGGATTAAAGTGCCTGCTCAGGCAGATGCAGCAGCAGGGGTTCGATCCCCAGCGTGCCCTGCCATCCCTGCCCCCAGGGCACACTGAGGCAGGCAATTAAGACTGGGCATGGTGGCATGAGCTTGTAATCCCAGCTTTTGGGAGGCTGAACACAGGCAGATCACAATGAGTCTGATCTATGTAGTGAGACCCTACAGACCCTGTAGACCCTGTCCTAAAATATTAAGAAAAAAATTTAAATGAAAGTTTCTTAAATTTGTCAGATAGTAAATGGAGTTTTTTTAAGCTTTACTCTTTTGTTCTTTTCCATCATGTTGCTTTAAAATAATTTATTTGAATGATTTCAGAAAAATTACAGAAATGATCTCATTTCTTTTATTCAAATTCTTCAAATATTATTTTATCATATATGCTTACTGTTTTTCTGAACTCTTTGAGAATATGTTTTACTTATTTATTTTTTATGTATTTTTAGTACAGGGTCTACAGGGTCTCACTGTGGATCCAGCTCGTGGTGATCCACCCATTTTCAGCCTCCCAAGCCCTGAGATTACAGGCGTGCGCCACCATGCCCAGTCTTATTTGCATCTCAGCATGCCCCAGGGATGGGGCTGGCTGGGCAAGCCGGGTATTAAACCCCTGGCCCCTACATCTGCCTCAGCAGGTGCTTTAATCCTCTGAGCTAACTGGCCGGCCCAACAAGAATACATTTTAGACAGGATATTGTTTTTACCTCTTAAATATTTCACTGTGTATAGCATGAGAACACAGACATTTATCGGTAACTGACATTAAGTGATTGAAACCAAGCATGGTGATGCATGCCTGTGATCCCTGTACTCAGGAGGCTGAGGTAGGAGAATCACCATGAGTTTGAGGCCAGCCTGAGATACATAGTAAATTCAAGACCAGCCTGGACTACACAATGAAATCTTATCTCAAAAACAAAAACAATAATAATTGATACATTCTCTAATCACATTTCACCATAAATGTTCTATATAAGAAAAGGAAAAAAAAATGCTTTTTAATAAAATACTGTTGGAAAATTCTGTATTTGAAAGCACATTTGTTTTGCGTAAGAGCACTAGAGGCTCCACTGCTAGTGGGAATGTAGACTGGTGCAACCATTATGGAAATCAGT